TACGTGCAACCAGATGATTTTGCTCGGATTCTTCAAGAATTATCTGCTGAAGAAAAGGAAGACAAGGAAACCTTTGGATTTCCATTCCTTATTTTCTTTTATTTCTAATTTTTAGAAATAAATGAAAACATTAAAGTGCATTTTTGTAACCAGTAAGAAGTAAATTTTCCTTGCAGAACTAAGCAATGCTAAACTTACTTTTTTTTTTTCCTACCAAGGTGTTTTCCTTTTTTATTGTCTATACATGTCTTTGATGAATATAAAATTAGCTTCGGTTTTAAAATATAATTATTAAATAATAAATTTAAAATTTTCTATAATGCAATACATCATTGCATTTCCATCTCACTAACATAAGAACTTAAAAATAATTTACTTATATTTGAATGTGATATCCTTTGTATTTTGCAATAATAAGATTAATATTTTATTTCTTAACAAATTTATAATCAATATTCACTCATTTCTGTGGTTTTCCATGCTCAAAACGGTAAAATAGCGGATATCGTAAAAAATACGACTCGCGCGTGCTCATGTTAAATTGGCAAACGCGCGTGCTGGAAGGTTAAATTATGAAATGCGGTGGGGGGGGAGCTTGAGAAACCCTGCATCTTTTAAAATGTGGACGCTCATTCAGTTTTGCATATTTCGAACATCACAATGAAGTGTTAAATTAGTAATTGTTTACGCAGTTTAGGCAATTGTCCTAGTTGCATTTTCACTACCACTGATGAAGGTGGTTCGTTTAAACTTCGAAATTGCTCTTCTATTAAATTTACTCCTCTTGCGCTGATTCGTGGTACTTATTATTTTTCACTTTAACAGTTAGCTCTTCGGTTCTAATTAGCTCTAATTAGTTAAAGCTCAGTTTTTTGTTGCATTATCACTGATATTTTAATTTTAACATTAAATTTTCTTTTGAACTATACAAAAGTTTTCTTTTAACTGATTAACTGGAGGAATCGAGAGCCAAGTAAAAACTGCTTTTTAAATTTCATAAAATATCGTAGATTACTATAAAAATCTTAGATTAGATAATCATTTGAGAAATGAAAGATGCATGTCGATGCAAGCGTCATTTAGGTGCATGATAACACTTCATACAGTTAATTCGAAATAAACTATATAAAATTTCTAAAACGGAAAAAATATACCAAGTTAATTAAATTAAATCAAACAATTAATTTATTTTAAAAAATAATCTAAGTACGATAGCAAAAACTTACATAAGTGGCAGTTTTCATTAATTTAATTTAAAATAATTTTAAATAACTAAAATATAGCAAAAACTTATTAAGTGTCAGTTTTCAGTAATTTAGTTTAAAGTAAATTATTAATTAATTAATAAATAATGAAAATATTTCGACCCGAAAAAGTTTCAAATAAAACAAACTCATAGTATCATGTAAGAAAATCTGAAAACTTTTACGAATTTTCTTTTAATGTCACCTGTAGATTAAACTTAAAGTTACGTAAACTTTACGTTAAAACTCTTCTTTCACCTAATGTGTTTCTTAAACTTTACCGAGAATTATAAATTCCTCTAAATGCGAATTAAAGTCAGCATCTAAGTACTTCAAAGAACACAGCGTGTCTAACCTTGCAGAGATATTAGGATATTCCGAAGCAGGAGACATGAAAAATGAGCAATGCCTTCCGGGGAATCGAACCACGGACCTCTCAAATACGCGCCGAGCAGGCTGACCATTACACCACGAAGGCTTGCTAAGAAGGCGAGAGAAATATCTTATATACTCCCCCTTTTAATACTGGGGTTTATGGGACCCAATCGCCAAATCTTGGTGGTGGAGAATCATCGTCCACCACCTTTTTTAGTTCGGGTGCCACTGTACACACATCAATGTCCCACCAATCATGTTAGCCATGTTTCTTCCGTTTTATCTAATTTTGTTGCTATTTATTTGCATAATACCGAGATTTTGTAGAAGAGCATGGCTAAAGAGGAGAAAAAATAAGATAATTTAAACTCCAAACTTGTTAACATAAACAAATAAATGTATATCTAATTGTTAATAAGAAGATCATACCACGAGTCTTTATTAAAGGCGACATTTTTATTTATCATATTTTATAAAAGAAACTTTTTGGGTTAATTTTAATATCGGTAGTAAGATATGACATATCTTAAGAACTCGTTTATTAAATTTTGCATCCATATAAATCTATCTATAGTACTATCTATAGCATTTTAGCGTCTTTTGTTCTTTATTTAATCAATGTAGCACCTGCTTAGGATTTTCATCGAACACCTGTTTTCTGTTACCACCACAGAAATTCCGTAATTTTACTGATCGATATGACCTTTATTATCCAATTTTCCCATTGTCTGTCAATACAATTGTTACGTTGAATAAACTAATACTAAAACTATTTGCTGTATGTTTTAAAGTACTGAGTTTAATACAGGGCCCAGTTTTGAAAATACTATTGGACATTAAATTTCAGAAATTCTTTATTCAATGAATCATTGAAGGCATTTCTGGAATTCAAGAAGCCAAACTCAGTTTTATCGTCTACCCTTTTCAGTAGAATGAATTTCCCGATTTGAAATAATTAAACCTGTTCAGCTAAAATGCTGTAGGCGCAACCAGCCGTAATTTCATGGAATCCTGGGGAATTCGAAGGTGAAACGCCTAAGCGTTAAACAGATATATTGACTTTCATTTCTACACAAGTTCCAATGTAAATTTAGTGTTATCAGAGTTTTACATGAGCTTTCACAGTAAAGATTCCTTTCTCTACTTAACAGTTCGCTTAATATTTTCAGAATTTCTCGAGCAAAAAATCCCTCATTTCGTAGAATCGCAGAGTTTCAGTTATTGATAGCAAAACATATAACTTATCTATTATACTTTAAAATATGAAATCTATCTTCAGTATACAATGAAGAAATTATATGCAAATAATAATAATAAAAAAAAAGATCTAAAAGCTTTCAGATTTTATTATGACGCCAAAGGGGCTTTTATTATTAGTCCAAAGGTGCTTCGTCTGTGATGGACTTTTCTTTTCGTTTTGCCATTTTTTTGTCGAATCACTCTGAATGTCCGTTTCACTTTTCAAACTGTTGCCACCAAATATTATGTATTATATTTGAATTATTATATTTCAAGTATTATATTTGAAGCCCTATATTATATTTGAAGAAATTAAATAATGAAGAATATGCATAAATGTATGTATGTTTCTCGCATTGTGATAAACAACGGTACCTAGAGATATATCCAATTTTGAATGACGTAATCCTACTGCGAATATGGGCATCTGAAAACCCAAATTTGAAATTCGGAATTTGTTTTATTATCGATTTCATATTTTGTAAAACTTTAACGAATATTTCATAAACAAACTCAAGGATTTCAAACCGAGCAATGGCAACATTGTACAGAAAAAACGTTTTTATCTCCAGCGCGTAAGACTGTGTATCGGAAATTCTAAAGATATGCTTAATTTAAAATTATTTTGCGATATTGCTCTTGAGCTGAATTTTATGGTTTAAATGCGAATAACATGATATTTATTAAATAAAGGTAACACACAAAGTACTTAATAAACGCAACTTTGGACTAACTTAAAATCTGAAAACTTTCAGATTTTCTTCCTTTTTAACGTTTCTTGTATTACATTTATTTATTAAATATCATGTTCTTAGCACTTAAACCATAAAATTCAATTCAACAGCAATATGAAAAAACAATATCAAACAAAACAACTGTAAAAGCATATCTTTAGAATTTCCAATACACAGTCTCGCGAGCTGGAGATAAAATGTGTTTTTTTCGTACAGTGTTGCCATTGCTTGCTTTGAAATTGCTGTGTTATTTAATGAAAAATTCGTTAAAGGTTTACAAAATATGAAATACATAATAAAAGAAATTCAAATTTGGGCTTCCAGGTGCACATATTCGGTTGGAGACGTACGTTGTTTAAAATTTGATGGCTCTAGCTACCGCGGTTTTATCGCAATGCGAGAAACATACATTTCATTATTTAATTTTTTAAATATAATACAGGGTGAGAATATTTGGTGGCAACAATTTTAAAAAATTCAGACTTTTAAAATTTTCGACGCAAAATGCTAAAACGAAATTAATAGCCCTTCTGGACTAACGCCCATTGGGCTAATTAGCATAAATAAACATGGAATTTATTGCTGAACTGACTGAGTTATTAAAATTCAGTTTTTTATATGATTTCAGTTTATATTTATATGTTATTTATTATAGTTTAAGCTTTGTTGTTATGGCGAAGAATTTCAACTAAGATGAAAGAGGGAAAAAACTTGGCTTAAACTAATTATAGCATTCTACTTTTATAGTATTTAAAACCCTAACTTAATATTTTCGTAATTAGAATTATTGCTCTCACTGATTTCCTTCTCTTCCGTTTGTATATTTTAAGACACAATTCGCCATAACAACAACTCTTGAATTATGTTGGGTTGAGTTTCGATGAACTGTAGTCATTTCCAGTCTTATTTTTGATAGGTTTTTAGTTTGAACGTTTTCATTTGAAAGCAATTATGAAGCATTGCTCTGCAAACACTCATGCAACGATAAAAATTTCTTTGTTTTTAAGAATTAGACAGCATTAGATATTTTACACATTGGAATATTTATTCTATTTACAAAATAGCATGTTTTTGCTTTAGAGGACTCCCATTACTGTTTGAGACTGTTTTCATAAAATTACACAGCATATTGTTGAACGCATCTATGGTTGAAAACCTGTGTAGGTTAAATACTGATTTAATTAAAAACTATAAGCACCTTTTTTGGAACACCTTGTATACCAGGAGAGGAAAATAATTTTACATGAGCCAGCCACTTTAAATGTGAGCTGCCGTTGTCCATCATATATTAGATGTATTACTACACTATTATCTACACTATTTTAATCTAAGCAAAAATATCAAAAAAATTTAGTTAACTCAATTTTGTTACGTTCTTTTAAGATAATTAATCAAATATACTGCTTACTTGATAGTACAGCAAATCAGGTGTATCTTGATCAGGTTTGAATATCAATCGACCAGGTTTGCCCCTTTCGCATCTCAATTCGAGACTTTCTTGGAACTCATCGAAAGTTTCGAAATCGTCTGACGTCAAATCCTTTGGCAACTTCCACTCGCAAAGACGACCCACTGTAAAAAAGATTTTATTTTTATCAAGATATGTTTCATAAGTTCAGATAAAATTCGAAAATGTTTCGGAAGTTAAAATTTAAAATTTATTAATTTGGATAGAAATCTTGGTGTATTTTTAATATGATTTTAGAAGTACTATTTTTTTCACATTTTTTTACATTGTTCACTTTCTTTACGTAACTCTATCCGTTTGCAACGTTCACTTTTATTTAAAAAAGAATATCGTAAGCGGCTTTTGCTTTCAAAACTGTAACACAAAAACCATTTTAAATCAGTCCAGTCCTTCTACAACCTTTCAAAAAAATATTAATTTCTTGCTAATTATTAACAAACCCATTGCTGATGTAAAGTTTGTGCAACATGAAATAAAAAGCAAATTATAAAATTTCCATATCTACATTTCATCAATGTATACTCATAAAAAAATAATCAGACTGATTGCATTAAAAAATAAAAATACTTTAATACTTTTTGGTTACAATCAAATTCAGTTTTTTGAAACTGTAGTTTAAATATTTTTAGCATATGATATTACATGTAAAATCATGCTAAACGCTATCGATTAACTACAAAATATGCTGTTTTAATTCTCTTATTAGTATTTTTTAAATTTATTAAATGTTTCTTCAGTGCAGCATCATTGTACGCCACTTTACCGGAGTAAGTGAATGTTATTTATGTTTTAATACTTTTCAGTCAATTAAATTTAGTTTTTAAAACTGTAGTTTAAATATTTTTAACATGTGGTATCATGTTTATATTTATGCTAAATGCTCTCAATTAACTACAAATCTACATGCTTAAATACATTGTTTAGATTCTCTTATTAGTATTTTTTAATTTATTAAATGTTTCTTCAGAGCAACAGCAGTGGCATCAGTACACTGATGTCATTGTTATTGACCGAAGAAGGGAGATACAGCAGTGGCATCAGTAAACTGATGCCACTGCTGTACCTTCCTTCTTCGGTTAATTATCTGTAGATCACTATGGATAGATTTTATTAGAATTTCCCTATAATGGTTTGTATCTTTTATTTATTATTATTATTATTGCTGTAGCTATTATTATTATTATTTATTTATTTTAAACTTTTCTGGGATGGTTTATGTACTTCTTATGTTTATTGCAATTATCGGATAAGTATTAACTATAAGCAACATCAGCAATTTTTTTGTGCTTAATTTTTCATTTTTCCTTATACTGGTTAGTAGGTTAGTTCCCTACAAACTGCTATCATAGGTTATACTCGGTTTTATTTTATATTCACTTAGTCTGTGCGAACAAGCAAGTTATTGCGTTAGAAAAACCAGAAGCATTATTAACATACACTTGTGCAGTAGGTACAGCGCTAGTATTTTTTGAAGTATTTACGTTTTATTCCCCTACACCGAGCTAATTAGTTTCATTTTTCTTCCGTGAACAACTTGTCTCATTACATGTATGTTAATGCTTGTAGCTGTCAGTAATGTATTGGCTTCACACACATATAACTGCATTAGATACATATGCTTATGCTTTCGCTCTTAATATAGTTGTTTCATATGAATATTACTGTAATATTTCGTATATATATATTATTATATCTCATGCACAACTGTTTCTCCGTATCGAAGACTTGAATAATATTACAGTATTATCGAAGAATATATACGTAGATGAAAGGCTTAAAATGCTGCGAGAATTATCATACGATCACACAAAGATACAATGCAAAAGTCATTGGAGAAAAGGAAAGAAAGACAAAGCAAGAAAATAAATAAAAATAAGCAATACAATATATAATAATAAGAAGGAAACCAAGCGTCTGCTAAAGTAAGGGTTAAATTTACAGATTTTATGCAATATCGATAGATTTGGTTAGATGTAGGATGCTTCAGGCAAATCTAATTGGCCAAATGAAGATCTGTTTTTTTGGGGGGAATGTTAATTTTAGTAGTCTGAAACATCACAGAATTAATAAGAGACCAATTCTGGTTAATGAAAGAAAATCTATAATTCTACAAAGGAAATACAGTTCAAGCTTTGATGGATATTTAAAAATGTAGTACTCGGAACGAAACCTTGAGAGGTTTTTTAAGTATCAGGAATAATCTTTAAAGATAAAAAGATTATAAAAATCAATTCGAATTTTGATTTGATATGTTGTATAATGATAAGAAGAGATGAAATTTAAAATTCAACTAACTGTGTTATTCATATTAGTCTTTCTTACTTCATTTGAGCTATCTGCATATAAAACCTTTCTAACTTTACAGCAATTTTTATGAATCGCATTTTGATCAGAATTTGTTTTAGCAGTTGCTTAAGTATTTAGTGATTGCTTTTAACAATTGCTTAACTGTTATTTACTGATAATACTGATACTACTGGAAAATTTTGAATATTCACATAACAGTACCAAGAAGCAGTTACAGTTATAAGTTTTTAAAAACAAAATAGTAGTTAATATAATTTATAAAAGAAATTGCCATCTCATATTTATATATTCCGTTTTATCACCTGCAAAACTCTTTAAATTAAGCAATTATAATAGGTAAATGATTAGGAATTAAACCCCAGAAATAGAACAACATAAAATAATATTATTAAAACAAACCTTCAGAAAAGAAATAACAAACTTTACCCAAAGCACAAAAACATCCTTGGGATATTCTGAGAATATATATTCACAGGATAATTTGTACGTCCTTATTACATCCCGGAATATCTTCTTAAACAAATTATCCCGAATGCTTTATGTCACATCCCAGTATGTCCTGAGTTCATCTTATCCAGGTCCCATCGACAGCGTATGGGATGTTTTTAGGATTTTAAATTCTACTTTCTACATCCTAAGGACACCCCGGAATATTCTAGTTTCCTATTAAATACGTCCTCTCATATGCTTAATGTCATATCCCAGTATATCCTCCAGACATCCTATCTAGATCCTATCGACAGCGTATGGGATGTTATCGGGATTTGAAATCCTAGTTACTGTATCCTCAGGACATCTCGGAATATCCCTTAAACCTCTTAAACACATCTGCCCACCTCTAATGCTTAATGTAACATCCCAATATATTCCCAGGAATCTTCCTTAGATTCACTGAAAGTGTGTGGAGGTATTGTGATAATCTAAAATCAAACTATTTCCCACAACATTTTGCTTTTACTTTTGAAATATTAAAAATGTTGATTATTTTTAAACATTCAATAGCCCCAAATCAGATTTTTTAATACAATCATAACTAAATCATTCTCTAAAATCAGTTTCTAATTTCATTTAATTTATATTCGAAATTATATAATAAAATTAAACATTTACTGTTATAATAGTTATACTTAAATATTGCAGTAGATTCTTTTTCTCCAAATTTGAAAAAATGAATCTAATATAATATTTTTCATTACAATTTAATAGCGCATGGGGGCGTCTGCACATCAAAAAGAAAATAGTTAATTCTTTAAGACGTGGTTTGTGATTTTTCTCATTGGATCGCTTGCCTATGAGGCTCCAAACAAGCGTTTCTCGTAGATGAAATGACAAAAATTTCTATTTAAGAAAACCTCGCAAATACCACTTCTTGCCCAGGTGTTAAAAACCAATTATTTTTAAACGTAAAACTTGCAATGCAGATTTCTAATTTCAAATACTTCGATCATGGAACAATAAGAGTTTATAAAAACAACTTCATTGCATGAAATAGGAAATAGGTCCATAATATTTATTTTAGAAACGTTAAAGCAACAGTATGTGTTAGTATAAATCTGTAAATATAATTTCATATTATCCAAAACAGTGCTAATATTATACAGGGTTATTACAATTTCCATTTAAGTTAAAAAAACTAAATAAAAATGTGTTGTGTTTGGAAATAATAAAATTCTAGGGAAACAGGCTCGAAAGAACAAAAAAAAAAAATTATGGGATAACTACTTTAAAAATGTGGAACTTTAAAAGCAATAAAATATTAAATTTATTTCATCACTCACTTACTTTTTAGGTTTTAAATTATGCATCCAAGCAAATAAAACTCAAACATATGTTTACCATAAATGTCAGTGTTTTTTTATTACGATTGGGAATACTACCTCATTTACAAAGAGAACATGTTTTTCAATTTACATTAATGGCGGTCGAAGTAATTTTCTGTTGCAGTATTTTTAAAAATATGGAACATAAACCAAGAAAAGAAAGCATTTTTAGTTACGTGATAAATTTGAATTAGAAGAACAGGAATCCCCTCGCGTGCTCTCGGAAACGTATTTATACAAATGCATTTTAAATAGTTCCTGTGAAATTGTGAAAATTTCTACTTTATGTCATTTAAAAGATTTTCTAACTTAAAGTTTTGTTAAAAGAAAAGGTTGTACAACTTACTTGCTGTAGGAGAGTAATTTCCTCTTCGATCTTTAGAAACACCAGCATACACTTTTACTTTCTGTTAAAAATAAATAAATAAAAGAGTTTACTAATTTATAAATATATTTACTCTTTCTATAACGACATAAAAATGCTTTGATAAGAACTAACGGAATGTATTCTCTCTATATATTTAATATCTTTTAGTAAGTGGAAAATATATTAAAATGTCTTTTATTTTAATAATGTTATTGGAAATACATTTTAAAATGGAATTATTCATGATAGACATTCATGAATTGTAAACAAATAAACTGAGCATGCCAAAAATCTGTGCTGGCAGAACTTTGAAAAGACTAAAAGATCCAAATCCCGATATCAAAAGTATTTGCAGAACAAAGTGGAGGAGCTTCTCTCGTGACACTTAGAACAACATACACCTCACTAATTAGACCAATCCTGGAGTATGCTTCTCCCATTTGGGTTCATGCTTCCAGAACTACCTTGGAAAAATTAGGAAATGTCCAGGAAAATGCCGCAAAAATCATTACCGATGCAGTGTCTTCCACCAATAATTTAAAAATAATTCAGGAATGTGGCCTCAAAAACCTTCTAAAAAAGGAGACAATATAATGTAATAAAATTTACAAACAAGGCAAGAAGCCGTGTACTAGAATACATCGCAAGGAACAATTTTAAAAATTATAATGGCAGCACTAGACTGAAAAGGTCATCGCCTATGCAATTTGACAAAGATATTAGAACAGTTTTTCACCTCGATCACAGCAAATTTTCCATCTTCCAAGAGCCATTATTTCCTTTGAGACTTCCTATAAACTTAAAAATAGTGCTCAATCTACTAGAGCCCTGCAATAAAAAAGAAACGATTGGTATCATTTAAGTGAAACGGATCAGGAACGGTTAACAGTATCCAAATGATGACTTTGTACAAAGTTCTTTACGGATTGTTCATCTAGCTTTTACAGATGGTTTATCAGATCAGACGATCAGTAATGGAGATTCTGAAATATATCTGACTACCCCAAGTGACACTACTTATCAACACAAAACTGGCGCTGCAGCCTAATTTCATTTGTGAGCTACTGGCGGAGGCCCTTGCGAGGCACTTGGCATTATAGATTCCTTCCCATTTTTGAGCAAGCAAAAGGAATCCTGCCTTCCGTGACTAATGATAACTACGGACAATCCCGGGTGGAAGCTTCCAGATCACCAACGGGATCAACTTTCGCCTAAACAAGCTTCAAAAGTTAAATAAGGCTTGCATTCTTCAATGCCTGCCAGCGTACGGCAACATCACAGGTAACGAGAACGCAGATAAACTGGCAAAAGAAATTCGAAATCTCCACAATAATAATAACACAAATGTCACCCTTTATGAAGCAAATGCTATGACCAAATACAGATTGAAGAATTAATAAAGCACCAGCTCCATAACATCAATGGAGATCGACTTATAACTAAAACCATTGTCAGACTTAGAAATGACCATGACAGAGGATTGAAAATAACCCAAGAGTGGAGGAAAACCTACAGAAACTGTGATCACTGCCAGGACACAGAACTGACAACTGTACACATTTTTGATTGTCAAACCATCCTTCCTGAATTGCTGAAAATCGGAGTCTTGTTTAAGAGACCGAACCTCTATGATGATAACATTTTGCAGATTTCCAGGGCTGTCATCTTCATCCATGGCAATATTTGAATAAGTTTTATCATAGACACGACAACAACAATATTGCAAACAAATATTAAATAGAAAAGAAGAATGTACGCAAGCCAAACTGCTATGCAACCACCATTTGCTAGTAAAAAAATCTTCACTTAACACAGTTAATCAATCGATCAGTGAAATCCCATTAAGCGAACAGGAATATTTATAGTTCTTTCACGATCAATAAAGTCAAAAACAAATATGACCTCTATAAAAATATAAAATTCTCAAAATTAGTGAGAATCATTTATTTGAATTTTTATTTAACTTCAAAATACAGAAAACTCTTTTCGGACTATACTCTTCCTACGATGATTGCTTCTGAATGTGACCAGAATTTCTGGGAGCATAAGCAAGCATCAATATTGAAAATCTCTCTGCTATATGACCACCTACACTGAAAACCAAAATTATCTAGAACTTTGAATGACCGTCTCAGGAAAGGTTCACTATAGCGTAACAATGAGCATTTTCTTAAAAGCAATAAACAAATAAGTAAATCTATTTCAATTTATGTTTTAGTTAATTTAGTATAACTGAGTATAGCTAAGGATAGTTTCTTCTTGATTTCGAAGGGTTTCGAAACTTGGTGATAAACAAAATATCCTTCAGTACGTTGAATGTGATTGATAGTTACTCAAGTTATTTTACAGCTTATAAGGTATTTCTCCCGCCTTCTTAGCATGCCTTCGTGGGGTGGTGGACTGCACGCTGGGCGCGTATTCCAGAGGTGCGCGTTTCGATTCCCGGTAAAGGTGTAGCATATTTTTCATCTTGCCTACTTCCAAAAAATACCTAATGTCTCTACAAGTTGACATCTTAGACTTTGAACAGTTTTAAGCTTGAAACGAGACGAGAAAACAAGTTAGCTATTTCAGACAAGAACAGATACTAAGAAATGAATTATATTATCATTTGAAACTAACCACAGAGTAAGAAGATAATTTAATTATATTTAATTATGTTCTGTGTTTTAGTGTCAGCTTTGAAATTAGGTTCCATAAAGAATAATTATTTTCTTTGGAAAACGGGGATCTTCCTTAGACACACTGATCCCCGTTTTAATTGATTGCAAAAAAGGAAAGACTACATATGTTTTATTGAAACCACTGCGATGTTTAGAAACATTAAGCAAGAATTTATGACTCGATGGAAGTAAATTGTCATTCAAAATGAATTTTTTACATTTTATAGAAAAATCCCAAATATATAGATATTACCAAACATCGAGGATGCACACAGCATTTTTCAATGCAACGGTTATCTCTTATTCATTTAGTTAAACAGTATTCTTAGATTTAAAATAAATTTATCTTTATCTCTGTCGAATCGAAAAAACAAAATTCAACAAAATTTCGCATTTATTGTTAAATCACTTGCGTTAAGCGGAAATAATATCATTGTAACCTACTACTGTGCATTTAACTGATTATGCCTCATATCGAAATTGCGTTAAGTTAAATTTTCCTTTAACTCTTAAGACGAGTTTCTTCTTTAGAGTTATAAATTGTGAATTTTTTATTTCAATTTATTATTCCAACAGACCTCGTAAAGAAGAAATTTAATGAGGTATCATATGATATTCTTGAAAGAGAAAGAACGAACTTTTTTCGTCAGTCCGTCTTTCGGATACACAAATGTTTTATACACAGTTGATTTATAATGTGTTGGTATCTTATCCTTTTGAAAATTAAATTCTTCCATATCCTCGAAGCTAGCGGGGGAAATTCGAACAAGTCTAGGTATGCATTTCATTTAACGAATGCAAAAAAAAACAACATTATGTTTGAATACCTTGCAAATTAAAAACCCGCACTTAGACATTAACATTAGAATGGGCACAAGTTAAAAATCCCTGTTATTAAACTGGAGAAAACTAGACTTCCTTTAATTTTGCACTGAAAATACGAAAATTCATATACAAAGGCTTGAAATCTAGATAGCAGTTTTAATTTTCTATATATCTTTTCAAACGTCTGAAATGCAATGCTTATAATTTCCATATATTGTGGATTCATACACAAATATCATTTGTTTTTAAATTTTGCATTGTGAACAATGAGTTTTATTAATTTTCTTTCTGAATTGCAAAACAGACATTTTCTGAAGCATTTTTAAAAACCTCGAAGTTTTATTTTTCATCATTAATAGTATTCACTACAGAAATTACGCCATCCAATCAGTACAGTAGTTAACCGTGTCGAGGGGCCAGGGTTCGAATCCCAGAGAAGGCATGGATGTTTGTAAATGTATAGTGTCGGTGCAGTATAGCGACACTATAAATATGCGGTGAATCGAAAGTCCTCTCTTGTGGCTTGGTGGAAAAGCGGACGGGTGGGAAACCACTCGGACCCGTTCTCTTCCCCCGGGATGCTCTTCCATCAAAATCGGTGACGGAACTGAGCTAAATCTCACTTTCACCTGTAAAGCGTTCAAGAGTGTTGCCAACAACAGGTGTATCTTTCGCTCCTTGCCCCAAGGTATTTCGTGGGCTTGTTCTGATGTTACTGTCAGACAAATGAGCATAAGTAACAACAACAACAGAAGTTTCAACATAATAATGCTTTCAAAGGATTTCTTTTACATGTAATGATTATAAGTAAATATTTTTCACCTTAAAAATCGATCACTAACAAAGGAAGTAATGAGTTATCGAATAACAGAAAAGTTATTTAATGCAATATTTACTTTTGATGAAAGGATTTCATATTTTCCCTGAAATAACATGAAAGAGAATTATTCTAAATGCCAAAATTCCATACAACTCATTTTATACCAAAAATAGATTGTCTGGCATTTTAATTATACTTCATGACTTCACCAATTCACAAGTGTGAAATTAAATCTTTCACACAAAGTCCTGATTAATTTTGTAACATTCTAAGGCTTCGAATTTCGATAAATTTTTATTCAGAGAAACTATGTTCCGCTTAATTTTCCTAGAACTCAAAGCTATTTATGAAATCTTTGATGATATAGAAAGAAACTGTACTTCCTGCTTTCTAGTCAAATATTCCAATGACTTCACATGATTTACAAAAATACTTTCTCCAAACAATTTGAAATTATTTCATTCAGATGTTCAGTTTTGAATAAAAATTGAAGTGTATAAAATATAAAATGTATTTATTATTAAGTCAAATACACACATTATTTTAAATGTACAATAGCTCATCACTTACCAACCAAGCTTCATTATTTTGGTACGTATAGCTGAAGATGTGCGAGGCCGCGCGTGTTCATGGTGGAACCATGAAGATAGTATTCATACCTCCATGGGCAGAACATGATTCTTTTGCGATTAGGCCAATTCCGGCCTTTTCTCGATTGCTTCCTTCAATTTTATAAGCTGTTAGCAGTAAATATCTCAGCGGATCGTTTGAAGACAGCTCAAAACGCCCAACACCTTTGTAATCCCATCAAATTGACAGCATGACCATTTTCTGATGCAATTTAGCTTTCGATATCATTTGCACTGATTCATCAGGCTTGCATCAAGTTAATTTTCGATGCTCATAGACGATTCATTTTTCATTAGAAGTGTAAGTCATTTCAGAAAAGGGTCGATTGCATTACATCAGGATTTGTGTATCGAAAATATTAATTCATTGTGTCAAGTGAATTTCTTTCAATTCATGCGGAACCCAAATATCGAGCTTCTTCATTTTATGTGATTTTTAGTTGTCGTGTATGACATTTAACCTTTTTGAAATCTCTCGCACAATTATATGACGATTAAATTATGACTGCAGAACATCGGTCAGAATGTTGGTTACCTTCAATTGGAAAATCTCCAGAATGAAATTTTTAAACCAATTCTGACACTCGCGTTCTATTAAGCAACCAATATCATACACTTCACATATCTCTTTGTGAGCCTCAGCCGCTTTCTTTCTCTTATGAAAATAAAAAATTAAAATATGTCGAAAATGTTTATTTTTACACAGATGTTAAAAACAAAATGCACATAACGCTGTCTCGTACAATTGTTTCCAAAATTTAAGGAAACGTCACAAAAATAGCGATAACTCGTCCACAAATAAGCCAATCCATATAAAACTTGAATATAGTTGTCAAATAACAGCTGTTGAGTAAAACTGCAATATGCAACTTAGTGGCACTGCAAACATAATGCCTCACCTGAAAGGAGTATAAAATTTCACGTTTGAGAGAAAGTCTGCGAATTTTGCTGTGTATACTGAGATAAGAAATCTGGGATAGGCAATTTGTGGTCAGTCAGCTTCCTTTTACTTCTCTTCAATGCAACCCTAGAAAGAGGTTTTGAAACTGCTTTTGAATACAATTGGAGATAGTTCAGGGAATAACTTAACTGAAATCATGCCCTGGATAATTTGGTTCAGTAATGCCAATGAGAAACTTATACAAGAGTCAGAAGAAATCATATTTCATACAAGGTTTGTTTCAACTGCATGTATAGCAACCAAATTCTTTCAAGAACATACTAAGGTAGCATTCACTTAGTTAAAAACGGACTTAAATATCTATGCTTGTTGTTATATTACTGAATAAATAGCTGTGCTGACTACCGTCGTGGGAAGTTTGGAGCTAACAAAAACGAACTCACATTGAGTAGAATTCATCGCTCCTTGCTTAATTTTGGGAAGTAGTGTAGAGATGTATATACCTGAGGGATTTTTACACCGTTCTCTATTTATAATTTCAAGGAGAGGAAAATATAGAAGTCTGAGTTTACATTAAAACTTATCACATTCTTAGAGCCTTAATTCGACTGGGGTTTAAAAATTTTCTAATGAGCAACCATAATATATTCCTGCTATGATACTTTAAAAATTAACTGACTGTGGCATAAAAAGACTACATGTTAGTACTAGCTTAATCTTTCATACAAACAATGAATTTAAGAAACGAATACCACAAATTCTTTTCTCTACCTAATAAGACAGTACGCTACCTTTAAACGAGATTTTGAAAAGGAAATTTTAAAAAATATTTACCGAGTTTATTTTTGTTTCTTTAAACACGCAACTAAAAAAGACGGCTCTAGTAGAAGAATATAGCTCTACAAAAATGTAATGTTCTTTTCATTTTCTTCGACATAATTTGATTTGCGAGAAGTGAAATTAAGTTAAGCCAAATTGTATGAGTAACGAAGCAGTGAAAAAAAGATACTGGTAGCAAAAATCCCTGAAAATGTTTTATTCTACTCGTTTAAGTTTCAAAGAAGTAAATGAAACAAAAATAAGGAGACTTGGACACCGTTTTACTCCAAAGAAACGAACTCAAAAATTTTGGTCAAGCAACACGTGTTGCTTGACCAAAACTCTGGTGAAGATCAAATGTCAGGTACAACATACCAGATTTTATCAGGGCATTCTGGTAGTCCCTGTTGTCGCCATAACAGATAGTTGCATCTTAATTCAGCAAATGTTTCAATATCTTAAATATTACCTTCTTCAAAACATGTATCAATAAATAAAACGAATAGAAATCAAATATGCTTAGCATTGCTTTTTGCAATAATGTTTCAGTTACTGATATTGTTGTCGTTGTTCTCGTGTCTATGGTGAATCCTATTCAAATAGTACCATGGTCGAAGATAACAGCCTTGGTAATCTGCAAATCATCAGTCATTAATATTATAGAAAACAGAAATATTTTCCTATACAACCTAAAGCAAATTAGTATCACTTTTTAATGTTTAGCTGTTGATGCAAATAATAAGTTACCTTTTTTTCTGCAGCTGATTTGTACTCGAATCCTCCTTCTGGGTCATCTGTGATATACAAGGGATGCGTCCTAGCGGGGTTTTCCACATCATGTCCTCCTTCTACGATAAAAGTGTACGTTTTGCCTCTTTCCACAGTAATTTCTGGTATGAGGACACCATTGATGTACCAAGCAATACCCCAGCCAACATCTCCTGAAATAAAATATAAAAGAAATTACAAATTGCCTTTTTCCAGTTTAGAATGACTGATTAAATATAAAATCTTTCTCTGTTTCCTTTACCGGCATTAATGTAAGATAGAGACTAAATAACTATTTATGGCATTAACATTATTTAAAACATAAGAAATTTGAGGCCTAATAAAACTACAGACATTTTATTGTTTTTGGTTAACATATTCAAATACATTCTAAATTAACGCATGCTACAGGTGACAGGTAACAGAGGATGGGAACACCTGGTGTTTAACAAAGGTAAGCAGGTATCTGTTCCACGTCCTCGACTATCTTAAATCGGCAGCTCCCGAGTCCCAGGAGGTCTGTCTCGGGATTCATTTGCTTCTGTGTGAAGTCGCACGAACAAACAGGGACCTGGACGATGTTACATGAATGCGTTAGCTGCGTGAATATGTAAACAATAGCTGTTAGAATGCATTGGTGATGCACTGGGGCGCACGTTGCCATAATTCTTAAATACATCAAATACTAAAAATAATAACATAAATAATTCTTAACTACATAAAATACGTGCAATACTACATTAAATATGATCCATCAAATTAAATACATTGCATATATAATTAAGTTACATGGATACATTAGTTATGTACTTGAGAGCTTAATTACAGTAAGAGACTTGAATACACTAAACCTGTTTACAATAATTTTTTTTTTGGAAATATGCGTTATTTGAGTACATACCTCCGTTGATATAATAGATACATGACTATGCTATATGAGTACTGTTTATACACTTGAATAGTAGAATGCATGCTAAAGAAGTAAAATATAAATCCGAAAAAAAGAGAGGAAACAAATTACAATTAATGAACTCGATAAACGCAGTCAGAAATTTCGTTAGCTGAACAAATACTCTAAATTTTCCTAATGCATAGTCAATATCAGTATTTTCTGACTCTATTAGTTATCGCAATTTGTTGAAGAGGTAAATTAATTGTGATCTTCAGCTTTGAAAAATGTTTTTATAAAAAGGAAATTTAATCTGAAATTTTAAAATCTGATTATTATATCAATTTGTAATTGAAAGTCAAAGGAATTAATTCACAATATCGGTTGCTGAATATACGAATCAGTATTTTATTTACTGCAATCTCTTTAGAAGCGCTACCTCGAAAACAAATGCAATAAAAATAGTTATTCACTTTATTTTTTTATTAAAAAAGAAATTTGGACAGCACAGTTCATTAAAGCAATTCAGACATCAAAATTCAATTAACATAGAACCTAAAATTTAAAGTAGAAGTAAAGAAATCGCAGCATTTATTATTGAGCTGCATTTAACTAATTTTAGTCTGCCGAATTCCGATTATATGTTTTTTTAAATACGGCTGCTACGTAAACTAAATAAGAATTGTGAAGCATTAGATACCTTTATCTTAATTCTTATTTAGTTTACTTGTTATAAGCCCATACGAATAAATAAATATCACTGTGCGGTGGGGGGGGCAAAAGGAATTTGTTTTGTGATGCTTGATGAATTTTCTCCCAGTAAAAATATTTCAAATTGCAAGGGTACCGGATAAGTCATCTTTATGTGATAAGCTAAAATCTGAAGAATTACATTAGAAACTTCAAACTTTTGGTAAACTTAAAATGTTTACTGTCTCTCTTTCTCTTTTAATTAAGAATATGCATCCAAAATAGACAATCAAGTGAGATTAACACGTAATATAGTTGCAAAGTTCGGCCATATTATATTTTCGTGTAAAACATCTCATCATAGATTTAAGCTTAGGAAGATGAATATTCTTAATGACTGCTCTCCCAGCTATCTACAATATTCATTTAAAATATCAGTAGCCTATATGCCTTTCTTTTTCTCAGCAGTAATACTTCTGTATTTAGAGATAGCTTATTAACTATTATCAGAGCAAAAACTATTTTTTTAATCTTATATAAAAATCTGATCGCACTTAAAAGTTTTCCCATACGTAATTGTCAGCAAATTTCCAATTCTTTACAAATATCAAATCATTAGGCTAAAATAAAAACATTACATATTTTAGTCTCAACATGCACTGCAATTTTAAATTGCTGCAAATGTTATTCGCAGCAAAGAAAAATATTACTTACTCTTCCGTGAGCCTGTTCTTTTGTTTGTAAGGTTTATCCTAAGTTTTTAATAGTTATCTTTAGTTAAAGTTAGTTATAGTTATCTTTAGTTAAAGTTAGTTATAGTTATCTTTAGTTAAAGTTAGTTATAGTTATCTTTAGTTAAAGCTACTTCCGTATCCCTTCTAATTTTAGCTTATAATTTCCTACCAGAATGTGTTTTTAGAATCGCGGTTAATGCAAATGAGTAAGAGCGGTATTTTAGTCGAAGTTCCACTGACTTCTTTAGAAAGCCAGAGACTATTTTTGGCCATACTCTCTCTAAGCTATTACTACTCTCGGCCGTAGTTCAAGCCCTTGATAGCTTTGCCAGCTTAGTTGATATTTAGGGACCAACTGCTTAGAAATCTTGATAGCTTCGGCTACATCTTTTAGTTAAGCGTTAGTCAAGTTTTATTTCTTATTACTTTGAGTTCAAGCCCAACTGGAGGCTTTGCTCCGAGAAAGGAGCCGACTGTTAAGTTCTTATTTTGAAACATAAAGTGTAATTAACCCTTCTTGAGTTTTACGTAACTGTTTCTGTACTCGTGAACAGGTAAGCCAATCTACACACTTAGCTGTTAGATAGAAGGTTTGAACCCACATGTTCATTCCAAAAAAAGGAAGAAAACTGACAAAAAAAAAATACATCTGACTATCATTTTACTTCTTACTCGTATTATTTATATAATGTATCCAGTTGAAAGAGAAATTACAAGAAAAATATTCCAATAGAAATTTACAAAAATTACTTCTTTTTTATTTTAGAAATTAAATATACTACGCATATTCGACGCAGTTAAATGAAGAATCTATAAAATACATAACCAGAATAAAAAACAATACATTTGCGTGGCAAAAACTTTTATGAATCCTTTGTGTGGTAATGGTATAATTTAGCAACGTCTTTCGATAATATAAACTTTTGTGGGTTTACTATTTGCGGAAGATATACTGTTTCATCAAAGTGTTCGGTGGAAGGCAAACTTTTATAAACCTACTGTGTGTGAATGGTACATTTCATCTACAGTAGTTTTCTTTTCTTAAGTTTTCTGGTAGAAGTTTGAAGAAATCCATATAACTGAGATCTAACACAGAGTTGAGTAACCAAGGGAAAAACTACAATGCTTTCGAAATAATTCAATGCAAGGCAAAAAAAAAAAAAAAAAAAAAAGGCTCAGTTAAAGGTTATTCTAACTTTAAAAACTCCACTGCATTAAGTAATTAATGCAATAGTTGAGAATTAATGCAAATGAAATAGAAAAATTCAACTGCACTAAGAGCTTAAGTACAAATTGTCTTGCAAAAGCCTTTTACTGAATCGGAACGTATTCATAACTTCATAGCAGATCAAAATAACCAATGCAAACCACTCATACGAAACATTTCACAAAATTTAAATGTTACTTTGAGGCATATGCAATTGATAACTGACAAAATAAAAATGACAAATTTACAGAATGCCATTCAACATATGCATGGGTATCCAATACCAATGTGTTATATGTTAATCAGTTTCTCAGTTCTGTTACTAAGAAACAGTTCGAAACTAAAAACTTATTTCTGTTACTAAGAAAAAGTTCGGTAATGTTTAATTATATCGCAATAATCATTTTAACAAAGGAGGAAAACTCAGTTCTGCTCACCAGTAATTGACTGGTATCCCTTCTTTCCACCAGTAGGTCCAATCTGAGCACGGAAAGTTCGGTCAGATGGGCACATTATTGGAGGGACATTCCAGGCAGTGTTGACTGTAGATGCACTGAGCCCAACATCAGAAGCTCTGCTAGCATATCGGGGTCCAATAGGTTGAGGTTTTCGACGAAATGTAGCAGAAGTGGGCTTCGGCTTGCGACTTCTTTCAGAAGTAGAAGGCCGTTTCGTTGGCTTCCTAGTTGTTGTGGTGGTGGTGGTAGTTGTACTTTCAGACACATGATCAGGGTCTGCCGGTTGAGGACAATTCCACTGTGGAGGCCTGGCGAAGTCGATGTATACATCGCCTGGCAAAAAACGAAAGAAATTAAATTCTTTTACAAAATATGTTACCATTTTTATAAGAATTAGCCCCATCACAATAAAATTAAATTGCACGCTATTAACCACGGTCTGCTTTCTTCAACGCTCTTCGTAAATAGTATCTTAACCGTATAATGAATTAAAATAAAACCCAAATTAGAAAACCCAAGGTAAGAAAATCTCAGAGTTTTAGACTGTAGTTAAAAATGCACTAATGTGACTGAGACCCATTTAGAAACCATGATTTTGATGAATATTGTAAGCCTAAAACGAAAACTAATTTATGCGAAGAACTTTTATGGTTTAAATTGATAATCACGTTTATCTGTAAAAGAATTTTCCAGCTATTTGATAAATTGCCTAAAGAGTGTCAAATCTTTCGCATCTTTAGTAAAAGTCAGCCAAAGGCCGCACCCCCGAACAAAATAAATTTGTTCGGTGCTTCATTTCATTTCTAGCATTTATTAGTAACCGAAATGTATCCCATATTAAGGAACGTAACATAATTGCATTCATATTTTAATCGGAAGACTTGGTAAGAAAACAGTATAAATATAGCAATTTTAATGCGACCATGTGTCATTTTTTTAAATACTCTATATCTGCATCTTGTTTAATAGACAATGTAACGATGAAAAACGCATTTTTTTAAATTTTACTTTCGTATGCATTTTACTAGTAAAACATTATTAGAAAATATGCGTACTTTTAACGACAAAACTAATAGGGAATAAATACCGTTACGTTCTTCGAGAAAGTTTTCGTTCCGTATCCAAAACATTTAAAGGAAAATTTAAATGGATTTCTTAGCATTGCGTATCTGATTGCAACTTTACACATTCTATTTGTAATGTCGACTCAAAATGAGGTCTAGAGTTAAAAGCACTTCGCGTTTCCTGAATTCTTCAGAAGTGTTCATGCCTTTTGCAAGAAATGGTAGATAGTGCCGTAAATGCGTTTACGGCATGCGTCACGACAGACTGAGTTAATAGATAAAAGGGAGTAACACTACACTATTTTTAATAAATAGTTTGATTAAAAATTGCTAATTTCATTTTTGCAATACTGGCTATTTTAAACTACATTTAAGAATTCTCTAACAGCCTAAGAATTCCCTAAAAGTTTTAGATTTTATTTTCTCAAAGACTTTTATTTTCAGACGTTGTATAAAACACACGTATAAACATATTCCTGGCATTTTAACGATAACTCAAAATGAACGTTATTTAAATACCAACGGAAACAGACATATTTTTATAATTATAAATTAAATTTCACATAACTGCTAAATCAAATATTTGCTAATCATGACTGTATTTTCTTGAAAGGACTAAGAAAGATAAATAAAGCTGTGTCATTCTTCCTAAGATTTAAATATGAATACAATTAGAATAACTAAAGTTATTTCCATAATTTATCTAGTACTTGGAATGTAATATGTAGATATACAAAAGTAAATTGCATATAATCATCTGTTAATGAAACAAAGGACCAACAAATGATAAAGTGCTGTATACACTAAAGATATAGAATTTATTGTCGGAACGAGATCCTTTTAGCTACAGTACACGGAAGCTTTTGAATTTGTAGAGCTTCGATTCGAGCCTTTGATTAAACATTGCGAAACTACGGTTGAGCCTTTCTCGACAATTTACGAAATTCTTATACCCAAAATTTTTCTTTCTCTGTTTCGTGAGGCTTCAGCAATTATTATAACACTTTAACGAAGAGTAATACTCGGGGGCTTTACCTGTGTTTTATTAGCCCACCTGAGGCACTATGTTTTCGTTTTGCGATTTTGCGTCGAATTACTCTGAATGTCCGTTTCACTTTTCAAACTGTTGCAACCAAATATTACCGCCCTGTATTTTATTTGAAGAAATTAAATAAATGGGAACCTGCATAAATGTATGTATGTTTCTCGCATTGTGATAAAACGACGGTACCTAGAACCATCGAATTTTGAATGGCGTAATTCTACTGAGAATATGAGCATATGGAAGCCCAAATTTGAAATTTGGAATTTGTTTTATTATCGATTTCATATTTCGTAAAACGTTAACGAATTTTTGATTAACAAACTCAAGGATTTCAAAGCGAGCAATGGCAACGTTGTACAGAAAAGTCATTTTTATCTCCAGCGCGTGAGACTGTGTATCAGAAATTCTAAAGCTATGCTTTTACAGTTATTTTGTTTGTTGCTCAAAAATAATTGTGAGCTTCTCCCACTAAAATTCCTAAATATTTTTTTTAAATACTTGAAAGTTTTCGGATTTTACATTACGCCAAAGGGGCGTTTTTTCGTTTACACATACATACACGTTTCGAGAGCATTCCAGCTAATGTCCCTTTGGGATAACAATATTTTAAAACACCATACCTTTAGAGTTTCCGGCAAAGTCTCGTGCGCTGGAAATAATATTTTTTTTTCGTACAGTGTTTCCATTGCTTGTTTCGAAATCGTCGAGTTTGTTAATCAAAAATTCGCTAACGTTTTACAAAAAATGAAACGGACAATAAAACAAACCCCAAATTCTAGATTTCAAGAGCCCATAATCGGGTGGTGGACAACGTAATTCAAAATTTGATGGCTCTAGGTACCTTTGTTTCCTCACAATGACAAAAATATGCATACATTCATGTAGATTCTTCATTATTTAATTTGTTTAAACATAATAGAGGGAAAAAATAGTTCATTGCAACAGTTTGAAAAGTGAAATGGACGTTCATAGTGAACCGATGCAAAATGCTATTTCGAGACTAATAGCCCTTCTGGGCTCAAGCCCCTTAAGGGCCGCTGCCACTGCGGTTTATCTGAGCTTACGGACACAACTGACGTAGCCGACCGATCTCCAAAACCAGTTTCTTCCCATAGGGCAGCAGGTTGAAAAATCTGAACTGCAAAGCTAGTTGACACATGGAACTGACTTCGATAGCTCAGATATCGCAGTTGGCGCAATTATCCAGTTCACTCAGTTTCTACCAACGCGATAAGAACGTTCCTCAGGATCTATTCAGCGTATCCCCTCGAATATTCAGGTAAAGGGTTAACGCTTAAGCGTCAATGTTAACGCTCATGTTTCTGTGTTTGGACGGTTAAGGCAGGTTTCTCAAAGCTGCATTATTTAGGTGGTGCTAAGTTAAGTTACCGAATGATAAATTTTAGCTCTTTTACATAATTGTCCATCAATAATTTTCAAAGAAATTGAATTTGAACCCAAGATATTTTGCTTCGCGCATTGAAGATTCTTTCAGCCCATCAGCAGCACACTTTCTGCTTTTCTCCTAACTAGTAGATGAGACAAATCTCAAGATTTTGACAGGATGAGTACGAGCTAAGTATCAGTAACAAAAGAGTAACCAACACATCCCTGAGTTTTGTTTTAATTCGATGCTGCTCTAAAGATCATAGATTGTTATGGAATTTTAATTCAAGATATGTTGCTTCCCACAAACAGACAGATCTTATCAACTGAGTTCTCCGACATAGAATTACTCTACCTTAATAGGAGATTCGGATGATTCGCTCTTGACGATGTGACTTTCTGAAGTTACGAGAAGTATTCCTTTCACGAACTTTTATTTATCGGTAGCGATATGCACGATGTACAGATTAATTATTTCTGATGATGCATACCTGAAGTTTATATGAATATAACATGCAATAAAATGTTTGTATGATGCTTTACTCTCTACCAATAGATTTCCAACAATGTTACTAACTGTTTACTGTGTTTTTAGATGCTACCGTTAGAAATACTCTTATGATCTTCAAGTGTCTGGGTCGAATGATAAAAAAAGATTCTGATAATTTAATGAATACTTTTATTATTTACCAGCAGCAAAATTTTCAAAATGAAAACAAAGGTTTCCCCCCCTCAGCTTCTTATTTTTGAAATATTTTTAGATAGCATAGGATATAACAGACTTTTAGAGTGTTTTAAATTGGAATATGAGTTTTAGCTTCAATTTAAAAGGGAGAAAAATACTGATGCAGTTTAACGTGTACTTAATTGCTCCCATGAAAATGAATCTTTTTGATTTGAATGTTAGAATTTCGGTCAAAAGAATTCTGCATGCATTACGCATTTCACTCGAAAAGCATATGAATTATTCATAAGGCAAAAGGGGTTTCTTTTTTTTCTTCGTGATACGAATTAAAATACAACACAAAATTAAAAATGGAAAGATAGAAGTTCAGTTTCTTTGCAGCAAGAAAATGATCTGAAAATTTCTTACCGTCAGAAAAGTTATGAAAGGAAAACTATTGAAAAAAATTTAAATGCATTTTAAAAATTCCGAAATCTTTCATATTTCATATTACGCCCAAGGGGAGATTCTTTTAACGTTTTGTGTGTTATCTTTACCTATTAAATGAAAAGTTCTTCGCACTTAAACCACATAAAATTCAATTCAACTGCCATGTCAGAAAATATTTAAAAATAGCATATCTTTTTAGAATTCCGATAGACAGTCTCGCGCGTTGGAGATGAAAAATGTTCTTTCTTTCTTTCTTTCTTTTTTTTTTTTTTTTTTTTTTTTTTTTTTTTTTTTTTTCCCAGTACGGTGTTGCGGTTGCTCGTTCAGTTTGTTAGTCAAAATTTCGTCAAAGTTTTACAAAATATGAAAGAAATAATAAAACAAATTCGAAATTCAAAAGTTGGGCTTCATGGTGCCCATATTCGAAGGGGTGTATATTATTCAAAATTTGATTGCTCTATGTACCGTCGTTTTTTCACATTGCGAGAAACATATTTACATTCATGCTGATTCTTCCTTATTTAGCTTCTTTAACTATGATACATGGTTATCACATTTGGTGGCAACAATTTAAAGAGTTATTCGCTGTTTATAGCGAAACGCTACAAAATGCCGTTTTGAGACTAATAGCCCTTTTGGTATACCTCTCCTTTAGGCTGGTGTCCTTCAGAGTATGCAACTTTCAATTCTCTCTATTTCAGTAGTTGTTTTTAGAAGTAATAGCTGTTACTTTCGAATTACTTGTGAAATAATTTGACAGCTAGCACAAACTTTCAATGCTACATTCACAATCATTAGATAGTAGATTGGTAACAGATTATAAAAAGGTGCAAGGAAATAGTTTGCTTTTTTGAAGGACTTCCAAAGAGAAAATGGTTCTCTGATGAAATCCAAAAAACTGCATGTCTTGGCTCTTAAAGAAGATATCCTATCTCCAAATTATTATAGATAATAGATGGATTATAGATGGAAACGTAGTGAATGCAAATCTATACTAGAAACCTTAAATACAACCGCATTTCGACATTAGATAATTAACAACGGTATCTCTAGTAGGTGGGCAAATATCCATTTTTATGTATTAAATATACTAAAAAATCCCTATATTCCAATGATTTTCGTACGTTTCTAATGCACAAAAATTCGTTTATTGCTTCTTGTCGAATTTCTTCCTCTCACATCAAGTCTGCTTACCAGAATAATGCAGTTAACCTGTCAAATAAAATATTGTTGCATTTTTTATTCTGACACCAGTTGTTACGTTTTATTCTTCCTTTACGTTTCGTACGTTACGGAGTTCGTGCGGATTTGGAGTGAATAACGACGACACTTGAGAAACTATCGAAACATACTTTATTTAGCCAGTATTAATCAGGACAGCTCCAAAGTCACGTTTTACAGTCATCGAAGATCTCCTATACACTCGCTGGAACAATCAGCGACACAGCCTTCAGGTTATCAGGCTATAACGGAGGAGACAGCTTCACTGCAAAGCACCAGCTCCCGACTCTGCTCGGTCGTTCTCGGAACTTCACGTACTCTCAAGACTCTCCACGCTACAACTCGCGATGCACTCGACGACACACAGAGCACGGCTCCCGACTCTTCGGTTCAGTCATTCCCGGAGCTCAACACGCTCTCTCGACGATGCAGTAACCGCGATACACTAATAACTCCAACTATCCGGAAATTCAGTTATTCTGGATCACTGCACTGTAACTATTATTATTTATAATTTTACGCCACGTAAAATTAAGTTTGCTTTAATTTCAAGGACCTGATCTTAATTTTGTTGTTTTAGATAACACAAAAAGTTAGTAAGTGTGTTACATGTTGCTAAAAAGCAATGAAATTAAGGTAGATGATTATGAAGAATAGGTAGATTGGCTAAGACCGCTTCCTAATTATGTCCTAAAAGTGCCGGCATCTTTACACATATCAATTACTGCTCGCATACTTATTAAGATGAGTTTAAACTTAAACGTCAAACTTCGTAACTGATCAACTTCTTTATGACACCTTCATAACAAAATGGTAGCTTTATCTACTAAAGTTAAATCACTTGTATATTGATGCCACTATTCAAATAAAGTAATAATTTCCTACTGCGATTAATAAAGCTAAAAAAAATTCTGCTTGAGTATCGGTGCCCTAGTATAAAGATAACCAACTACTGAAAAAAATTTTGCTTTTTTTTTTCAACTTTTTTTTTTCAAGTTGCAAATGATCTTCTTAAAGATGTCGGTACTTTCAGGATAAAGCCTTTCTGGGAAGGTTTTAATCTTGGAAGAAAATTGCCGCTTTGTATCTAATTGCTGACACCTTTAAGATGGCATACAGTTATAACGAAATCCTATTTGCTTGCAGTATGTTGGAGAAATACGTAATCTAAACATTCCAAAGGAAAAACAGATAATTCTGTATGAAACCCTACCATTGTCTGTTTACTCCATATTACAGAGCATACTTAAAAGTACTGCTTTTCTAAAAACAGGTTAAACAGATGCAATAACACGCCGAACAAACACTAATTCGAAGTCAAACAACAAAAATCAGGGTTATATTTTCAAATTTTCACAGGAATAGTTTCGATGGTTTAACCGAACCATCCTCCTCAGCTGCAAAAGCGCAAATGACGTAGATAAGATATAGTGATTAAATAAAATAAGAATGGCTGGACAGTTGTTAAGCTTCTTGCGCCACCTTTTCATTCATCCTTTAAGAAAATTATGTTTCAGTTCTCGTTTAATCAATAGATGGTGCAGTAGCTTAACTACTGTCCAGCCTTTCTTATCTTACCTTATCTAATCACTACATCTTATCTACTTCATTTGCGCTTTGGCAGTTGAGGGTGATGGTTCGGTAAAACCATCGAAACTAGTCCTGTGAAAATTTGAAAATATAACGCTGATTTTTGTTGCTTGATTTCTGAATTGGGTTAAGCAGACTTGGTGAAATTATATCAAACTCCTTTCCATGCAAGTAACATTTGTTTTAAATAAGTAGCATAATTGCAGTCAGTTACTTCCTATGAGTTTAATTTCTGTCAGTAATGTTTTAAAACAGCAATCAGTAATTTTCTAAAATTGCAATCAGTAGTTTTCTAAAATTTTAATGTAAATCTTTTAGTTTCTGTGTACTCATTTATCAACTTCCTACATATATTATAAATTAAATGCTTAGTATTTCAAGTATATTATATTGTTAATTCCATCGCTATTATCTCTAAATTATCTTCTAAATTAGATTCAGTAAATTAATAATGCAAAATAGTGAAACCATTGGGCAGTTTTAGTATCGAATCCCTTATTTTGCCTCTGTTCGTATACACCTTCTTATGCTTTCACAAAAAATGGCAGATAAAATTTCTTTCCATCACAAAAATTCTTTAATTCTTTCAATTGAAGTATGAGGCCAGTCAGCCTGGATAGTGGTTAGTGACTCTGACTGCCGTAGCAAAGAGTCCAGGTAGAATCCCGGAGAAGGCATGGATGTTTGTAAATGTATATTATATTTGCAGCATGGAGGCACACTAAATATACGACGAACCCAAAGTACTCTAGCGTGGTTTAGAGGTATGGTGAGAGAGGCTCCACGGACCACTCCAAGGAATGCTCTCCCTTAAAATTGGTGTGAAAATAGAATTCCAACCTCGTCAAGGCTTTCACAAGAATTCTTCTATGAAATATGGACTCCACAACCATAGGCAATAAGATTTAACTAACTAATTTAAAATTTTGAAAGGTTATTTTCGTCTACGATAAAGACGTTAAATTTTTACGCACCCATCCTAACTTTCTTTCGAGTTAACATTAATTCTTCTGCATTTGAATTTCCTTCCCTTCTGCAATCCTATATTTAGCTAGTTTGCCATTTTTCTAGTTAGAAGAACAATATAAAAAATGGCTATTTGAGAGCCCAGTTTCGAAGGAGTTTGTTAAAATAAATCAGGTTAAAGCATGTGAGACACATTTCACATGTAAGACATATTTTTACTTTATTATACATTTTCTATGTGGCTATTCAAGTATTTAATTTTTAAGTACTTAATTCAAGTATTTAATATTTTGAGAGCAAAATGTTTTGCTTAACAATTTATAAAATATTTGCGTGATAAACTAAAATGAAAAATTATCAATGCTTATTTTTAAAACTATTTACCTTCTGATCGCAGGGCTCCATGATAGGAAACTTCATCTTTTTCATTCAGGGGTCCAATCGCCCAAACTATTGCTTGGGGTCCGTCTGAATACACATGCTGATCGTATTTCTCGTCAACTGTAAAAAAATACAATATATGTTACAAATTTACTAAAAACACATGGTAATGTATCAAAATTGTATGGTTAATAATACTACTGAACAATTACAATACAATTTATGTATTAGCTTCAAAACAGCAATGCTTCTTTCGTATTAACGCAACCTCCTTGGTCTCAATATGGCGGATTTTTACGGATGAAAAAATTATTTATCTTGTCAAATTGGCAATTATTTATCTTATCAAATTCGCTACTTTTTTTTAAAAAATATTCCCAAACTACCGACATTTATCGAAAGTCGTCAAACATTATCAACAGATTAAAAGAAAAACATTGTAAAATACAAATATTAATTTTTAAGAAAGGATTATATGATATACTGAAAAATAAAACACATTTTTATTGAAAAGCCTTCTCTACATTTTAGCGCTGTACTTATCTCTATGTACACAACGATTTGTTTCCTCTTAAAAACAGCAGAGAGTGCAACAAACTTCGCACTGCGCACCGGCTGTCAAGCTCATCTCATCATAGTTTTCTTTAATGATTTTGAGACAAAATATTATATTCCTGCAGAAATTTTACAGCCGTTTTGTCTATTGATGGCAAATCCCTCAAGTGATAATTTAAAATGTGAGTTGAAGATAAAAAAAAATATCACGGTTTGTCTAAAAAACCCAGGTAACTTGGAATACAATAAAAAGAACGCATACGAAAATGGCGACGCTGCTTAATTGAAGGACGGATATCAGCATGTTTGCTTGAAGAATGTTAACGTGCATGGTTGCTAGAGTTGGTACATTCTGAAAATTTAGCGATTTCTATTAAGGTTTGGTTTGGTCTATTTGATTGCGGCAAAGCACTCGATGGCTATCTGATACTTCTACTAAGATGACTGCGTTAACACGTAAGTATAGCTTCTTTTTATGTTACTACTTCACACAGCAGAAAACATTTATTGGATATCGAGGGTATTTGATTAAGGTGTATGCCTGAAAACAAAAATGAAACCTATAGACCACAATTAAAGCAGTTCTTTAAATTTTCAGTTAGCTACAAGCAAATAAAACCTACCTAAATTAATTAAAATATATCGAAGATTTAACTTGGTAACCGAGCTTTTATTGTGTTTTATTTTGAAACATAGATTAAAGTAACTACTCGAAATGATATCTATTCTATATTGTATTAAAATCATTGAAATTAACTCCAAAGTAATTCGACATGTATTCAGTTACAAATTTTGAAGCGTGCTAAAAACTGAGAAATTTAAAACATGGGATATAATTGCAATTTTTCCGTATTTATGTTAATTAAAAACCCCTTTACGAAAGAAAATGCAAAACCATTGATAATTTAACAAAAACGATAAACCAGTTCTGAAATATTGGCAAAAATTAAATGTGGTAACAAGTTTGTGTACAGTCTACAATGCAGAACAAAAAAGGAGCCGAAAGATATGAATACAAGTAAAGCTTGATAGCTCTGCGCATAGTTTATTCAAACATTTTTCCTGTTTAAAACTATCATAAAAACGCATGATAGGGTAGGGTTATTTCTTTCAAACATACTCAATACTCATATTCCAAGAGAAAACTTAAAAGTAAAAATTAAAAATTTTGGTTAAAAGAAAATTGCACAAATAAAAATGTTTAAAATGAAAATATTCCTATGCTAACGGGTTTATTGAACATCAAAATTATGATTCTATCCGATGGAATTTTATTTCAGCGAATTAAATTTTTGATGATCATTTTCTGCGACGTTGTTTCCTTCTAGAGTAACTTAAGAAGTCTTCGTAAGAGCAAGAATAGGTTATTGGTAAACTAAACTGGTTGCTATGGAGATAAATTCGAGACGATAAATATTTTTTTTTATGTTTTAGCGTTAGTATTTGCAAGTAAATTGCATGCAAGTTAGGCTCTCATCTCGTGTTTTCGTTCTTTCTTGGAGATTCGATTTGATGCTAGATATTCGTTTATATTTTTATATCCATTTTCGAAACGCTTTCTCTAAGCTTATGACCGGGAAAAAAAAGTACTTCCAGATAAAGAAGGTATCATTTTTACTCGTTTCTATATTAAAAAGAGTGAGAAATAAATAATACTTCAAAGCTTTAACGAATAATAATAAATACTCCAGAGATAAATTTAACAAAACTTACTTCCAACTTGAGGTCTTTTAAGCGTTATCATCGTATACCCATTGACGGCTGCTGCGTTGAGGAGTTGTACACTGTCCTGTCCATCTGGAAATTTAACATCAGGACAACTGCCTCTGCGACCTACACACTGAAATATTTTAAAATAGAAAATACATACAAAGGTTAAACGTCCATTCAAATTAATTTACATGACATTTAAACAATTGCTTTAGTACATTATACAAAATGCCACTATATTTCCAACCTTAATCTTTATTTTTAATAAATAGAAACTGTTTCTTTTCTCTCTCTCTCTCTCTCTCTCTCTTTTTTTTTTTTTTTTTTTTCTTAAAATATTATTAGCAGGGCTCTGGAGTTGGAATCGGACTCGGGCAGATTTTGGGGTAAAAGGTTGAAAAAAATAATAAAAGCTGAGTTATTATTTTTATTTACGGATTGTATACATAAATAAATGGTTATTTTCTGTTTTATTGACATATTAATAAATAAATATAAGAATGGATGTGATGTTTGCCATTAGCAGTTAAACTGATTCATTTAGTTACAAATCTCACTGATAAATTTAGGTAAGCAGAAATAGCAGCAAGAACTCCTAAAATTAATGCCATTCTTAGGAAAGGCGCAGGAAAAGGAGCAATTATTGATCAAGCAACGCGATAAGAAAGTACATATTTGATGATAAAGAGTTTTTAGAATTAAGAACTTTTTTAGAAGTAGTAAATAATCTTAATGTTTCACTAACAGAAAGACTGCGAAACGATCTTGCAAAATTAGAAACTCTTCTTTCTATACCGTATATAGCTACCAAAAAGCTACAATCTGAAGAATTAACAAGAGGCAAGACTGGAAGAATGCGATGTTTGTTGTTTCTGAAATGGAAGGTTTATTGCAGAAGGAATCATTTCTTCAATGAAGAAAAGAGAAACTAGTTTGCTAGACAATAAGATCGCGCTGGGTTCAATATACGTAGATCCAAAACGCCAGATTTTTTTGGATGACAAACAAATTAAAAAGGCAAAGAAAGCCATCTATGAACTTTTATTAAGAATGAAATTATTCTCAGAACAACTGGAGTATTCAAATCAGGACAGTCAAACTGCAGATATTGCAACTGAGTTTCTATCATCTTCTTCCACTGATGAATTATATTTTGAGAAATGTTTGGATAATATTGAAAAGGCTAAAGCAAAGCGAATGAAAATAAAGAACTAAGAGCCCTTAGATATAAAAATGAAAAAATACAAACAAGACTTATACACGACCTTCGAAGAAATAGTAAATATGATTGCTCTTGCAAGACCCCTCTTTTACAAAAATCTATCCTGAAAAGTTAAAGGAAGTAGCCGTAACAGTAACAACTCTTTCTTCTACTCAAGTTAGTGTGGAAAGACTCTTCTCAGCACTGAAGTTTATCAAATCTGATATATGGGCCTCCAACAAAGAAGATCTTGCTGAAGCTATACTGTTTCTTAGAAATACCCAATGCCAGTTTTTCTATTTCATAATAGATGCTAATTAATATAAATAATTTACTATGCCATCATTTTTTTCTGTAGCATCTATTACTTCTTTTATATTAAAAAATAAGCTGTAACCCAAGCGTATATGTTTACATATATATATATATATATATATATATATATGAGGGAGTCAGAGTCGAAGTCATTAAAATTCCAGGAATCGGAGTCGGAGTCGGTCACTTTCCCTATCGACTCCCCAGCCCTGATTATTAGTATTCAAAGCAAATCAGTCATACTAATGTTTTCAAAACAAAAACGAATTCTGTTTAACGAAACAATATAAACTGTAACTGTTAAACTCCAATACATTGTACAGTCATTAGATTTTTTTAAGCTAGAGACTTTAAAAATGAGCAATGCCTTCGCCGGGTCTCTAGCCTGGACCTCTCGAATGCAAGCCGAGTGTGCTAACCGTTACACCACGAAGGCATGCTGAAAGGAGAGAGAAACTACACCTAGTATAGAGTTTTAATGTAAACAACAGTATTTACATCTTTCTTCTAGTATGAATTTTAGTATGGCCCACTGTACGGTAGCAGCCAATGTTTCCCTCTCTGCTGCGACACTGTCCTCCAACCAAGTCAATATCTTCTTAAGAAGATGTTGACAATTCTTGTATTTTTTCGACGTTTTCGACAACGCTGTTTCAAATTTGTTATTTTCTTAACGGATCTTCAGGAATTCAGAGATACCAACACGATAGAGTCGAGCCTTTCCCAAAGCTACAATATTTCGCCGGAACGTCAAGGACATTATAACTTCCGTGCAATGAACTAATTATACAGCACTTAAGATAATGCCTATTATAATATTCTAAAGAACAGAGATGTGGTGGCAAAGGAGTAGTAAACATATTTGAAGGAAGCTTGAGCACGTTTCCAGCAGACAAATTATTCATTTATTGCTGCTACGAACAATGTATTGCATCGGATTTACAGTATATAGAATATAAAACCATGACTGGCTCAGACTTTTTTCGAGAAGTTTACTGTATCGAAAAGAAATCCTGAGCACTTAAATCGAAAACCGAATTTTCCGTGTTCAGCTTGTGGCCGAAAGTACATTGGTACTAAGCGAACTCGCCTGCATAATATGATGCTAACAAGCCAGTTTCCTTGTAAAGCTCATTACAGGAAATTATGCGAAAGGAATTTAACTCAAGACTTGGTTGAAGTTTTTTAGCAAAGTTTTGGCGACTTTTTTATTGAAATCTGCAGACTAAAAACAAACCTAAGCTATATAATACTTTGGACTAAACGCATTAAGCATAGCAAAAGTTATTGACAAAATAAAGAAAATGTTTTGGAACTCCAATTTTCCGTAGCAAGTTATCGGCGCAAACTTAATATTATGTTAATTTTAATCGATTAAGGCTAACGATTCAAGGCAACTAGAAAGCGTGGGAAGAGATGGGCGTTCATGGAGGACTTCCTAAGCTTTGCCGCTTGGCAACTAGTGAGTCCGAACTCCAGTGAGGAAACATACTTTTGTCCTTAGCTCATTTTGATTGAGGTAAAAATTTCGCAGCATTGGAAATATATCTCTCAGCTTAGTTATTTCAATAAATAAGTAAAGAAATAATCCGAGACTCCTTAAAAATATTTTATTTACAACTCTGTTGTAAGAGAATGGAACGCCTTAAAACCCCTTTGCAATGCTTATTTTAATATGAAGAACACTTATAAAAGAGAAAAAAGGCACATTTAACCAACATCCTCCAGTAAAATATATAATCTTTTCACAGGCTAATCTTTAGAGCAAATTGTTCTACCACGGAAAAGATCGAGTGCTTCCAAAGCATTCTTAATTAGATATTACAATGATAAAGTGAAAGCAATGAGTAAGCTACATGCTCTTTGTATATAGTAATGTTGAAAACTAAAATTTATAGAATTTGTTAACAGCTCAATGTATTTTGAATTTAAAATGATTATTTCGAATATCTAATTTTTTAGATATGATAAGTACTTTCCTATAAGAAATAATATAAGCTTGAAATAAAGCTAAAATATATTTAATAGCATTTATATGAATATGAATCTTTTCTTTATGTCTTATAGAAAGCTTAGGTTTATTTTGAAGCAGGAGTACATGAAAAATGTGCAATGTCTTCGCCGGGACTCGAACTTGGACGTCTCGAATACGCGCCGAGTGTGCTACCGTTACACCACAAAGGCATGGAGAACGTAGGAAGAAAATACCTTATAGTCTTTAAAATTAATAAATACCTTATGAAAGTTTCTACGCACAAAAAGTTGAAATTACGTTACAGTTACGTGCAACTAGTTAGAAGTAAAAAAAATATATAATTAAATTCTTTTTTTATTAATAAATACTTTATAAATTATCTCATGAAGGTTTTTACGAATGAAAAAATGAAATTGCATTATAGTCATACACAATTAGTTAGAAATAAACAGAATTGTATAAATTCATTCTTTCATTAAAATTAATAAATGCTTTATAAATATCTCACGACGACTTTTACGAAAGAAAAGTTGAAATTACATTATAGTCATGCACAATTAGTTAGAAATAAACAGAATTGTATAAATTCATTCTTTCTTTAAAATATCTGAATATTTTATGAAGATTTCATGAAGATTTCCACGAATGAAAAGTTGAAACGTATGATATGTATATACATAATTGAATTACTATATTGCATAGTTGAAGTTAGATAGTTTATTATAGTCATATACAATTAGACGCTGTTTTCGCATTAAGCAACTAATGAAAAAAGTTCTTACTAATGAAAAACGTTCCTTGTTATGATATGTAAAATACACTTCATTCAATAAATAATCTATCTTAGCTTTTCTCAGCTATTCAAATCACATGATTTTAAGAATGCGGCTTAGATGGTCCACCTATCAGGCTCCTCCATAATAAGTGACCATCACTTCTAGCCTTAGTAGCGGCAAAGCCGAAGTCGTCTAAGGACCCGCATTGGCAAAAAAAAAAAAAAAAAAAAAAAAAAGAGAGAGAATGCGAGTTTGGTTTTTTTTCTATGAGTCTACTCATCAAAATCAAAACTCATCAAAATCAACTTCTCAAAATAGTTTATTTATACGAAAAGTCTCCTTCAATTTAAAATATGCCAAACTGTGCAGCAAATATTCATGAGCAATTCCATATGCAAATCCATCAAAATGGTCGTCTGTGAAATAATGATTACTGGACAATAATTCTAAGTCAAGGGTTCGTTTGTAATAGAAATTTAGCATTTAAAGAAATTTGTTATTTCTAAATCAATTTAGCCAGAGAAATTCAAAATCTCATTATTAACTATGTAGAGTCATTAGGTACTTTTTTGGAAGCAGGCAAGATGAAAAATATGCAACGCCTTCGCCGGGAATCGAATCGCGGACCTCTCAGTTATGCGCTGAGCGTGCGGACCACTAAACCACGAAGGCTCACTAAGAAGCTGGAAGAAATACCTTATAACTATTACATATTTAGAACCTCATATGCATAAGGTTACAACACAGTACACTTAACTTTTTAAAGACACTGATTTTTCAAAGAAATGTTTCAGATTTTTTTAAATATAAAGAATGAAAAAAATCTTTATATAATTTAGTTGTTCGTATGCTAGTATGCCTATTCTGTATTACATTAAATTTTTATCTTTGAAATGTTGCTTGTAGTGAAGCCTTGAGTATATGGTGTGTTCGGACTGAACACACTGTACTAGTAGCGCCTATCACGTGGGAGTGAGTCACAGAATCTGGTCTCGTGCTTCAAACACGGGGAAGGCTGAGAACACAGATTTATTTATATTTGTTTTTATTTTCTTCTTGTTCTGAAGACCCTGGTGCTTTGTTTTCATTTAGCTATTTGATTTTCAGCGAGAGCAGACCTTTTTTTCTGTTGCTTTCATCGTGCGTAGTTTGCTTAGTTTTGATTTCTGTAGATTTTTATTTGTATACATATGAATAATAATTTTTCCTAGTCAATAATTAATTGTAAATATTACAGTATTTTAATTATTTTTCTTATACATTTTAAAATTGTGAAAATGGCTTGGAGAGGCTTCAGCATTGCCGAAGCAATGAGTTTCCTTTTTTTTTCCGGTTTTTTTTCGGGGGGTGTAGAGTAGCAGGACTCCCCGTGGTGCATCCTGGGTTATGCTAAATCAGCTACAGAGATCAGATTATACTGTTTTTAAATCATAGACAAAGTATTTTACTGTAATACGTGCTTCACAGCAATGCTCACCTATCGCAGCTCGTGCAGCTCAGTGTGTTCACTTCGGACACACCCACAAAATGGAAACAGTTTGTGCAATCTTTGTAAAATTATACCTGCATACTCTCTTAGGCCTAAATGGACTGCCTACATTTTTTTTTGGGGGGGGGGGAAATTCCAACTTTAAAGAGTAGCGTGCCGGAAAGGGTTAAAACTAGTTTTACACTGAATCCAACTATGTCTAATTACCTACTCCAATATAACTCATTTTATGCTTCACAGTTGTACGAGATCAAAATATTGTATTGAAAAACAAAATTCTATTACAGATGTGTGGACTTTCTGTGGCTCTGTTTGAAACTTCTACTAACAATTTGATAAAGGCTCCGGTTTATTAAACACCCTGATAAACGCATTACTTCAAGCATCAAACTACTTATAGAATTTTCTTCATCTAAATGTCCATTAAAAGTCAAACTTTTCTTTCTTTAAAGTTGTGTAATTCATTATTGAGTCTCACTCACATGAAACTGACTAGAAATTCATTGGAAGCAATACTGAAAGCCACCACTTTAAATTGAATTCCTCAATTTTCTTCTCTAGAAAACTTTCTTACCTGTTCTTTACTTCCCAAATAGTAATCGACAGCATGCCCTCTTTTTCTCTTGTCAATCCAGGCAACAATGGCATCGGCTTTAATCATGTCCGACTTTGTGTCATTTTTACTTAAACCGAATGACATGTATTCGCCAGGTTCTGAAAGAATGAAAAGAGCAATTTTATCACAAGCATGTAGTTGACATTTTATCTACGTTAATCTTAAATTCTTTACAAAGCATTTTTATTAACTTACTCTGCGTCATAGGAAGAAAGAAAAAACTTTATACGAGTTTCTTCGATATGCATATTCTATAAAAATCTCCTAAATATTTTAAACTTCAGGTCTAGAATTAGAGAAGATCAATTAAATTTCTTAAAATTTCAATGCAAATTTTTGGTCGTTTGCAACAAAATAGCTAATTATTAACTGGCTTGTAATTTGTTGGCTATCGTCGAGTTGATGTAAGTTACACAACATTTTTTAAACACATAAATGAGATCTTTATAGTTCCATTAGCTTCCATTAGCTTTCAACATAATGTAAAACATTCTTTTCCCGTCCGAGTATTAATGTTTTTAATCCTGTTTGATTTTATTCAAAATAGAATTTAAGTTATATTCGAAACCCTTTTTTTTCTAATAAAGAATAGGTGTATAATAAGAATGGGATTTTTTGAAGCAGGAGATGTAAAAAATATGCCATGACCTCGCCGGGACTCGAACCTGGACCTCTCGAATATACGCCTAGTGTGCTACCATTATACCACGAAGGCATGTAGACAGGAGGGAGAAATTACCTTATATAATTTAATCGCATATGAAATTGCTTATGAGAGAGAAACTTTAAGACAACGTTCAGTTGCAGAGTAAAATTGTTCGTGTTTCATGTCTCAGGTAAACGAAAATTCAATCCAAATTATACGTTTCTTACAGAAAACGAAAAAGAGGTAGTATACATCAATTTTATTAAATTTATTTTCATCTTTTATCTGAAGTTCGGAATAAAGAACCCATAGATATCCCAATATAGAGTTTAGAATTTAAATTATAGTAACTCCTATATATCCTATGTATTGCATTTTTAACTCCTATAAAATCAGGCTACGCTGCTTAGGAGTTCAACAACAGCAACTGGAACCATGTACTATTGATGAACAGAAATTCAATGGAAAATAATCAAATTATAATCAATCTGAAAAGGATTAATGATAATTAAAAACTCATTATCAAAATTAGGCAAAATTCAGCTTTGTTATTATGTTTAAGCTACAGAAAATTATACATTTCGGAGAATATAGACATGGGATTCCCTTTCTTCAAACAGAACTACTATGTGTAGTATTTTTTCGAATACTTAATATGTATTTATGTACGTTTCCAAATTCAGGTAGTTATCAAGATTCCTGAGAATATGTCAGTGAGTACAGAAAAACAAGGAACAAAAATCATTCATGCAACATCTGAAGCTTCAGTATATGTGAGGCATGCCATATTCAAATATTTTCCCCTTCTCATGCTATGTAGTTGATGCAACGATGGATTCGAGCTCCAATACATTTGTAATCTGTTAGACCCAAATATTTCCCTGAGGTTGTTGGTACAAGGCCCTTGAATTAAGGAAAATGGGATACAAGGACCTTGGTTTTTCTCTCTGCAAGATGTCTTATTTAAAAATGAAATTGATTTGTTAATTTCTGAGGATTGATTTATTTGATTAATAGTTAGTCTTTAGTTAAAGTAACTGTCCTGTCGTTCTCCTTTTGACCCCCCGTTTTCATGTCAGAATGTAAATTAGATAGCGCTCGCTTATTGAGATTAAAGGAGAAAGTGCTATATAAGCGAAGGTTTTGAAAGTTCATTTTACAGCGTGTTATGCCTGCTTAAGGCTATGTTGTTACCTTGACATAATAGCGATTTGATTCTATGGCATTGAATGCTTCTAGCCATAAGGCTTGTTCCGCCGTCTTCTACGAGCCAGAGCCTTCATGTACGTTTCTGTGAGCCATTAGGCTAGTTGTATTGCATTTTATGCTAAGTTCGAAATTACGTGTTTAAATTAAACCCAAAGTATTGACCTATGTAAACGCAAGTGAAATCCACTATGAACTCTTTGTGATCGAATAAAATGGTCATTTACACCCTTCTTCTGACTTTGTCTGTCTGCTGTTAAGATTCGAGGATAATTCCTCTACAGTATCTCTGGAGCTTGTTACTTTACGTTACCAAAGAATACGAGGCTGTATAAATTAGTTTATTCGATTATGGCAAAGCACGCGAGGGTTACGTCCTTAAGGAAAATGGATTCTTTCGAAGAGGACGTTTTAAGAAGAACCGGCTCGTTTCCATGTTAACATGCGAGAAACCACGAAACCGTCCATCCAGCCCGCCCGTTCGTAAATCGATCCAGGTCAAACTAACAGTGTTCCTCGACTTGATCCCTTGGTCTCTAGTGGGCAAAACTGAAATCGAAGTCAAGCAAATAACCCTCTTGTTGCGAGGTCATATTGAATATTTAAACCACCCTAATTTGAATATAATGATACAGAAGTATTGGGTTATAGCTATGTGTACCAGTGAGGATATTTTATTATTTTGTAAAGCAGTTTCCCTAGAAATATTTCATGATTAAAGTAAGTTACAGGTATTCATTACGGATACGAACAATAAATGTATCGTGCTTTTACTCATTAATAATTTTATCAATAAAAGAATATACATTGGGGTTGGCCAGTATATCATTGAACATTTTGAGTTCAATAAAAGGTTTATTTTTATTCCCACGCCGTATTTTGATGTAAAAAATTAATCTAGTGTCTACGTGCTATGGAGAAATAGTATTTATCTAAGAAAGTGACACTTTTCATTACACAATTTCTTTTTTTATATTCTTAAATCTATGTCATATAAATCAATAACTAAGTTCATTTTTTGTTTTAAACATCACTTGCTTAACACCGATTCTCTATCTTTCTGCGAAAATCATTGTGCGTGAAATTTAGATTTATATCTCAAGCTGCTTCGGCTGTATTTAGTCCTTTGCTTTACTGAAATAAAAAGGCATTCTAAATCCCTTGCAGAACCCATTCAACAATAGATGAAAAAGGACAGATACAGCACGTTTATCAAAGCACTTCTGTAGTCTTAAACATGCAAATTACTTGTATTCACTCGTATTCTCTAAGAAATATTTTATGTCCCTAAAGAAAAGTACACTTCCATTCTCCAGTGCCATTAGCAAATAACATAGTAAAAGCACAATTCATCCAATTTAGTAGTTGTATTTAAAAGCATAAAACAGAATCAACTAACTATGAATTAAACCGCGTCGATTTTTTAAGCCTTTGATTAGTAATGTACATAAAACGTTTATTTTAATTCAGTGCAGATTGGTTGCTTAATTTTCTCATTCTCTAGACTATTTGGGTTTCTAATATTTACTTCAGTGACTAACAAGCAACAAATTTGCAATTATGAAGCTTAGCACAATTACGCCAGTAAAAGAATAAGCCGGAAATGGGGAAATAATTTCCATAATGCTCAAATCGACAACATAACTTTTATAACTGTTTATGTCCTTTTCCTGACCTGGAATCTTTTCAAAAAATAAAAATTTCCTTCTTTTGCAACGAAACGGATTTAAGAGAAACAAAATAATGATAAAAAAGATCATATATTTTTCCACTTGATCAACAAAAATATTATGCAAATGGATATGGAATGTACACAACTAATTCAACTGCTACACTCCGTACGGTTAATTTTATTTATATGAAATCATACCACTACTACCACACGGTGTCAACAAAAAGCATGCTTTAAATTCTATAAAAAAACGGTTAAGAACACAAAACGACTTGGACAATTTCCCACATATTTGGTGAATTTCTTACAAATAAAATTAATTTTATCCAAAATTTAAAGAAATCTAATGGGTCTTTTACGTTTGATGCTACTTGCAGTTCTGAGGATCTTTCGCTGGATACAAACGGTATTCTTTGCGGTATTTTTTCGTATTCTGTGCACGTTAATCCATTCTGAATCATGGTCGCTTTCACATTCTTATCTATTGTCTTGATTTTACTCCTTCTTACACCTCTTACATGATCGCTATCTTCATCACTACTTTCCTCCTGTCTAGCGTCAAGTAATCTATGCATAGACGTAATTTCTTTCTTCATCAACAAAAAAATCGAACTTTTCTTCACTTGAACTGATTCCTTGATCATATTCCATCGTTACTGGCATCCTTATCTTCAAAATTATATTTCTCTTGTCCCAACTGTCGAGTTCGAACTAACGCACATTGGGTACAGCTGACTAATTTGAATTTAAATTAAGCATGGTAAATTTTATGATGTTTTATCCTTTCATGCTTTACAGCTTTCTGGAGAGTTATGAACACTAGTCACAGAAGTATATAAATTAAATAAATAGAAAAGAAGAGACGCCAGTACCAAACTCTCAGTTAATATCACATTTTATAAAACGTCAACATGATAAAACTGGTAGCAAATTACATTTTAACATTTAAAATGCTTAATATCGATATGTACAGATAAATCCATCATATACACATCCGCTAAAAAAATAAGCAACAAAGGCAAAACACAGAATAAAAAAACTATTTAATGGATGTGCGTGAAATTAATCCAAGAGATTAATGTGGAATTAATAGACCACATAGCAAACAATAAAGCGAAGATATACAAAACCCCATTGTGAAAGATCAAATGTGTCAGAAGAATGTGCTTTGGAAACACCATGGTAATGAAGCGTATAATACCCTCTAGCCGAAACGCATGTTTGACAACGGCAAGGCACGCTTTTAATAGTGTTTTTGATTGCTTGTTGTGGCAGTAGGGCCTATTTCTGTAGTAATGTATACCAGAGCTCGTGGAGGCTTCCTGGTGGCACACTGAGACCTGCTACCCGTCGTCCCAACATGTCCCACCCGTGCGATATGGGACTCAATTCCAGTGATTTAGCAGGCGAGGGCAAATGTAGTTTTCATTGTCCATATAACTCCGCACCACTCGAGCTCTATGCGGGCGGGCGTTATTGTCCATAAATATTGCGTTGGTACCCATTGTAGCGATAAACAAACGCATAACATTTGGTCGCAATAGGGGACGGCTATAACGAAATCACCAGAAATCACGTATAGGTCGATGCGGGCGTTTATTTCTATCCCAGTCCGTTCAAGTAAACCTCCTCTACTGTAACGGTCTCTTTCGAAGATGTCTGGCGTCCGATAGCATATTGCTGGCTCTTGCCATATCATTGCCCTTTGAGAATCATTCTGAATGTTAAATCGCGACTCATCCGTAAAGATTACGTGGCCTCACTGCATTGGTGTCCAACTGCGATGTTCACGGGCTCAATTTAACCATACTCTAACATGCGACGAGAACAAAGGAACATAAAACATAGGTCGTCGGGCATACATTCCCCATTTATGCAATCGACCCGATACACTTTCACAGGATATGGGCCGTTTTACTGCAGCAGAGAGATGCGACGCCAGCTCTCGTGCTGTTAGTGATTTAAGGCGTCTTGCACATAGCAATAGTAAGCGATCGTCTGCAGTTGTTACCATCTTTTACGTCCAGATCTACGTCTTCTAAAGGGATCTTCATCGCTTTGTTAACGACTCCACACTACGGTAGACTTTCAGTTCTCTCGCAACCGCGAATTGTCTTGCACTAGTCTATAACATCTTGACAGCCCTCCAACGCATTTCATCAAGAAAATGGCGTCACCTTTCCGATGCATATGTCCAACATGTCCCTGTATAAGACGTTGTGGTGTGACTGCGGGATTTCATATTATGCTAATTTGGTTGCTTATTAGTATTCGTCGATGCAACCTCTACCTCCCATGTAAATGGTACGTTTTAATTCCCCTTTTTGCATTCGCATCTTTTCCTTTACCTCTTTTTTTTTTTTTTTTTTTTTTTTTTTTTTTTTTTATTATTACAAGTGTATTATAGCATTTTTTGACATGAGCCATTAGTAAGCTTACCAGTGTTGTTTAAAGAAGAATAAAAATTACCTAGCCTAGCAACGAGTTGCATGACTATATCTTCTCCATCCATGATCCATCTGACTTCAAAACCTAAGTCATCACGCAAAACTTCACAGTTTAGCTTGTACTGAAAAAAAAAGGTACATAATTAAAATAAGAAAGATAGAAGTAACAGAATATAATAAACTTAAATGTAGAAACAACTGATCTGCACTTTATAAAAGAATATACAAAATAAATGTAATATATTTAATTTGTAAAAAAAATAATAAGTCATTTGTTGTGTGCTGATTTATTAGGCGAAATATGCAGGAATATATGAATTTATTCATAAGAAATTTCTTTAATTTTATATTTTGCCTGATAGACATATAGCAAGAAAAGAATATATAGATATACTTTGTTTTGCTGCTGAAGAAAACATCAACATCCAATAGTTTTTCATAAATAATTAAATTTTGCTTCCAAGCGAATATAAATTCATCACTAGAGTAATAACGATTAGAGTAATAATAGTTTATAACGATTAGTACATTTTGCGTCGAATACCTTCTTGAAATAACAAAATGTTAAAACTAAATTTAGAATTCGAAAGTAGATTACATCACCGTGTAATTTAAGTGTACCAATAAGCTGACTCATTATCATATTAATTTAGAATCTTTGATTCATTATCATATTCATTTAGGATCTTCATAATTTTGAAGCTGAAATGTTAATAATCTGAATATAATTTGACCGTTGAAGCACATTTTGCCTTCAATTATAAAATGGTAATTTATATTAAGCATTAGGTATTAAATTCCTTGACGCTGAATATTACTATTGTATACGTTTCAAAAACTGGGACATCTTCATACATTTTTACATAAGAAATATTCCAGTAGTAATATGAAAGTTATTATGTAATTATCTGATGTTGCTTGAGGACAAGTAGACAAAAATATATCTATACAATCTCCATATGTACAAAAAAGCATTATTAAGGAAAAGAGCGTAAAACAAAATTACGGGAAATAAAGTTATTATAATTTTCTAAAATTAAAAAAATAGCAAAAACTTTGCTCCTTCTTTTTCCTCCTCTTATGAGAGGAGAGTATCTAGCATTTCTATGTAATGAATTAAAATTTGATAAATATCTTAAAGTTCAAAACCTTATTAAGCACTGACGATGATTACATAAATAAAAAATCTGATGAGACACATGACTTCCTTGTATAACCTATCAGATTATACACACGTTTTCCTGTATTTCATTAAAATTCATTTCCTCGACTTTCATTAGAGACATATTTCCCGTTTAATTAATTCAATTCTTACTTCGCAGGAAGGTAAAACTACATAAAAAAATATCACCTTCATTAAAAATTGTAAAATACAAAAAAGCATAAAACACCAAATACAACTAAACACATTTTTAAAACCGAATTTTACATTAAAATTAGAGTTTTTGAGAAAAAACAAGCAATTCTGCCAGCGGATAGGAAGAGAGATTTTTCGGTGCACGAAATTAAAAGTTTACTTTGGGTCCCATTTGGAAAAAAGACACCGAAGTTTGTGTCCAAAGTGATTGAATTCACTGTCCTTCTAAAGGTTTCGAATGTAAACAAATGGCGCCTTCTTTAGGCTTAGTACCACTCAAATGATCTTAAATTGTTGATAGTTCTACAACTATTGCATACAAATTACATAAAGGCATAAAACCCTTGACCGGAACATAAAGGAGGTGCACAACTGCATGTTATAGCAGCACCACATACAACGTTCTAAGACTTTTCGTTCATGAGTTTTGCAAAATATATATAAAACATATACATGTACGCAGAGACGTTACGAAAAAAATCTCTTCTGGATTCATTTTTAAATCCATTTTACAATTCGTTTAGGAAAAAAAGAGTCCTTTATTCTGTCCGTACGTACATATGTCACACACAAAAAAAATCATTCAAATGGATTCGAGAGCGGTCAGAATGGATATTTTCGTTGAATTATGATACGCGAAATTTTTCTCGATTACAATACTTCCTTTACTTTACAAAGAAGTAAAAACAGTAATGTCGTTTCACCAGTTATAAAAAATAGCTAAAATCTCTCACAAATACTTCTTATAATTATATAAAGCTATGTATTTTGCAATTATTTTTGTTTTTTGTCATTACGCACTGCCGTTGCTTTCGAAAAAGTAGCATACGTAGGAATTAATCTACAAAAATAGGGGGAAAAAAGGGGCTGTGAAATCAAAACAAATTCAAGTATAATATTAGTTTTAAATTAACAGGAACAGTTTACCGAAACGTTATTATCACTTTTTGTGTGATAACTTTTTCATGTCAATAACTATTTGGCAACATTTTTTTTCCTTATAACCTATTAGTTAAATTAACTGTTACTATTAACTTAACAGTTACATTTAGTCCCACTTGATATTTCATTAGATTCTGTGTAATTTAAAATCAACAACAGGTACGAAATATGAGAAATGGCAAAAGCATTTATATCGTATGGAACGGTTAATGGATAGAAAACACAGTACAGGTAAAAAATAGAAGCAGAAAAGTATTTAATTTTTAACTCGACTGTAAGTAGTTTTCTTCGACTTGTTCAATCGATGCACTAAAGTGCTATAACTGTCGATTTGGAAGACTAATGGTAACTATAATCTTCTTTTCCTTCTTTAGGAAAGTTTTAATACATAAGCACACACGTCTCCAGGAGGCATGAAATATGATGGTCTTGAACCACTCTTGCAACTGTTGGCTCAGACAAGAAATAGCTTAGGCAAGCAACAAAATAGGAAAGTGTCACGCAATCCACGTTCAAAGGATGTTACATAAGGCACTCGATATTAATAAATGATAAAGGGAAGCTTTTATGTATCCTCTGTGTATCAAATGTTACTATTTATTATTAAATTAGGATGGCAAAGTTTGCAGAGAGAAATTAAAAGAAATTTATCGTCTTTTGTAAATTGTAGCTTATAAATAAGCATGGCTTGAAAGATCACCACTTTTTAATTTAGCCCCCAAGTATGATTAATTTATTCTTGAATATTCTGTGTTTTAACTATGCTTCTGGGCTTAAATGGAGCTATAAAAATGTAGAAAACGCTTGTAACGATTTGTAAAATTCACAAAAATCCGAAAATAATCAAAAATACTGAGAAAAGGTTGGATAGTCCATGAATGAATTAAACATAAGTTAACAGTTAATACCTTCATCCTTTGCTAATTATTAAAATATCAACCAACATTTTTCCTTTTTTGATTTCTGGTAAACACATGTTATATCTAATTATTTTATACTATATAAGAAATTGCTGATTTAGATGCAAACAGATGGGAAATTTAACTTTCTTACCAGTTCTTTCCCTCTTGCTTCCATCTATAATAATAAAAGCAAGTGTAAGTCTGTCTGTCTGTCTGTCTGTCTGTCTGACCGAGCTCTCCAGCCAAATCTATCGCACGCAGGGACCTGGAATTTTTTATACGGAAGCACAAAGGGGCTGGCCACCAGACCTCGAAGCCCGATTTTTCGATTTTTGAATTAGAAAAAATTTAAAAAAATTATTATAATTAATTTAATCACGGTTTTTTTGACTCACTGATATTATTATTTGTTTTCAAATAACGTTCGATTGTAACAATTGATTTCTTTATTCCTAGCGTTAGTTTGCTGTTTGACGATACATTAAATCGATTAATTACAATTCATTTCTTTTTGTAGCTTGTGGGGGGGGGAAGAGAGAGAGACAGTCTACATGTCCTACACTACTATTCCTGCATTTTCACACTTATCTGCATTTTCTAAATGCACGGGCAACGCCGGGCGGGTACAGCTAGTTTTATATAAAGCTGCAATATCTGATATAGAACCTAACGCAGAAATGTGAGTTTTTGAACGGTTACGCTATCATAACGCTAACATGAATAATAGACTCTTAATAGTTACAGTTCTGCATAAAGTCTGAGTAACATAAAGTCTGAATTTTCAACAAAGCATGGAGTCGGCCTGTGTCATCCTACTTTTTCAAAAGTCTACCTTACAATGAGAATGACAATATATCGTTAAGAAAGCCAAGCTGCGGTAAGATAGCTTCCTCTTAAAGTGAGTTTAGGGTTGCCAGAAAGCAGCACGGAAAACCAGGGTTCCCAGATTTGGCACTAAGTCTCCCATTTCGAGAAAAATGGCGATATGTTATACACAGAGCGAGAACATTCAGAAGTAAATTCTTACCGGTTTTCCCGAGAATGTTCTCGAAGGCAGGTCGAAAACTATATATACTATGCCTGTATACGGAGTAGAGAGTATCTTGAGAGTATGCTGAGTTCATTAATAGTGTTTTGAGTTCAGAGAACAGCTTGAGAGCGATTGAGCCGAGTCGGGAGTAATTTAGTGCTTTGTTGTTAAGCTGTCTTCACCGTTGCAGCACTTTGTTGCAGATTGATTGTTTCAGTGTGTTTCTCGTAGCTTATTGACGACTATAAAAGTGTCTTTGGAACTCTTTTTTCTGTGTAATACTGGCGAATGAATTGTGTTTTGATCCTTCATCAAGTGTTGTCTACAATCACTCCAAATACATGAACTTGTAGAACGCAACAATATTTTTGAGTCCCATGTCACATTTTCTGGTTAAGAGTCTGAAACATTAATTTGAATGCATGTTTTAGTCATGGGTGAGTAATTGAGGATAATTTTAAGATCAAGTTTAATTTTCTGCGCAGTTTTATTAGTCCTATTAGTATGTAAATATTTTAACTTTGATTTATTGGTAACATTAATTTGTCTCATTGTTTCATATACATCTATCCGTATTTTCTTCAAAATATGAAAATTACGTGTAGAAGAAGAAGGAAATAATGCATGATTGATTGTTACTGTTGTGCTATTTTACTGTTCAGAGCTCTGATGCCTTCCTTTTAAGATTAGAATCTAATGTCTGTTCCGATGAGAGTGTGCTACCGTTACACCACGAAGGCATCCTGGAAGTAGAGCGAAAATACCTTATATACTACTTGCATATGGAGAAAGCGAAGAAAAAATAATCTTATATACTCCCCCATTTAAAGGGCAAATGAAGATTAAGGGCCCCATTCGCCAAATTCTGGTGGTAAGGAATTATTTTCCACC